CGGCCCTCACTTCCCGCCCTCATTTCATCTATTCTAAATGAATATTTTTTATATTTAAAAAAAATAGCACATTTTTTGACAAATTTTATAATACCTATTTAATGGCAAACAATAAAAAACAACAATGAACTAAAATACAACAGACTACTTATTGATATTTATTATTCGCGAATTTAATATCCGGTTTTATCTGACATTTATTTATATTGGTGACAGTTATTTACCCCGTAATCACAGTAACAATATATTTACTTGATTATTCTGAGAAAACCGCGCGCTTGGTAATTTGTGGTTAAATGTAATATTTTTGGTATGTTCAGAACGAAACAGAGATTTATTAACTTTGATCGAAATATGATGGTTGTAAATCATAGCTAACCTCACGACAGGAATGAAACTCTTCCCACCTCGGTGTGTAATATACTATTACATTGTTAAAGAAAAAACATTTTTGTTACATATTTGTTACATTTAAAAATATCCAAAATGTCTTGAATTTCATGATATTTCTGAATAGACTGGTACATTAGAGATAAGTTCAAAACGTTAGTTCTAGAAGCTGGCATGTAGAAACTCAAGTAAACTCTTAAACCAGTACAGATGATTTTTAGATTAACGTAATTTAACAAATCAATACTGTCGACTGAGCTATTTAAAAGATTATAAAGTACCTGTTGGAAATTTCTGCGTATCACAAGCTCAGAAAGAGTGAATCTAGATAATAGTAAATCGTGGGGATATCCCCTTGTAGGGTATAGTCCATCCAAAATGTAGGAAGCAGATTTCATGAATTTTCTTTAAACTTTTTCAAGTCAGTATAAATATTATTCACGGGATTCCAAACAATAGAACAGTATTCAAGTTTTGACCGTACATAGCTAATATATAGAATTTTTAAGGTGAATATGTCTCGGAATTCTTACAGCTTCGTATAACAAACTCTAAACTTCTGTTAGCAGCAGATAACATTGTTTCAATGTTTAACGAAAGTTAGTTCAGAATCAAATTAAACTCTAATATATTTTTTAATTTCGGGTCGATTTAGAACAACGTTCTGTAGTTTATAATCAAAAATTATAGGTGTTACTTTTTTAGTAAAATATTTTACGGAACATTGCTCAGGATTTAGAGGGAGTGAATTATCGAGACACCACTTCGCAATGTCGGGCAAACACTGTTGAAGTCGCAAACAATGATTAACAGAATTTATTCCTGGCAATAATTTTAGGTCGTCGGCATAAAGTAAAACTTTAATCTGCTCGATATTAAGGACTATATCATGTATAAAAATTATAAATAAAAGGGGACCTAAAATTGATCCCTACGGAACTCCTGATGTTTGTTCGAATTTTTGAGACCTGTAACCACGACATTGAACATATGGATGCCTACCCAACAAATACGAAGGACTTAATTGAATGATTTGATCCCATAAACCAATGGATTTTAACTTATTGAGCAATTTTGTCGAAAGCCTTGGAGAAATATGTGTATATTACATCAACTTGACTTCTCCTATCCAAGGATTCCAAAATTAATTGCGTCGAACATACAAGGTTTGCAAATGTAGATCCATTTTTCATGAATCCATGTTGGTTACAGGTTATAAGATGGGAAACGTGATTGGAAATATGATCGTAAATAATTATTTCGAATACTTTAGCTAAATTGCAAAGAATGCTTATTGGCCGATAATTACAAACATCATTTTTGCTACCTTTTCGTGTAACGGAGTAATTCTGGAAATTTTCCACGCGGTAGGGAAAATACATGTTTTCAAAATTAAATTAAAAATATGTTTCAACGGAGTGGCCAAATTTAGTGTACAATATCTGACAAGAAACGAAGGAATAAGGTCAGTACGCATTGACATTATAGAGGTGTGGCTTTAAATAGGAAATTACCCAAATTATCATGTCTAGTGAACATTACAAATGCATATCTACTACTGTAACATAAAGTTAAACTGGAAATAAATTGCACAATTTAGTATATAAAAGAACTCAATTTTTTTTTAATTTTCGTTCCACATTCTACTACATGAAGGAAACATTGGTTCATTCCACTTGTGCACGTTAAAAGTAGACCTGTCCCTGTTTTTATAATACTATTATTGCAGGACACACGATAATCGTGGATTTCGGCAAACGTACATCAGAAAAGTATTGCAAACTTAAGCTAACTACTATTTCCCCCCTAGCCTTAATGACCCCTTCATCAATTAACTGGGTCTATGTCGCAACCCCCTTGGATGTACCAGCCCTGCTTATTTTCTAGGACAATGGATAGGGTTCTATAGAATGGCTAACTCCCTAGACTTGATCCCGCTAGATTTATTTTTATGGGGACATTTGTTTACAGGACAAAACGATAATCCGTTGATGATTTAACATTTGATTTAAGTATAGTCCAAAGCTTACTGTTTGTTTTTATATTAATATCTATCTTCTAAAAGCTTAGCTCTAAATATCTTACAAAATGCATTATATAATCAATTCTTTCTTTGATTTAGAGATAATTAGAAACTACGCTACAAAATCTGTCAAAACAAGGAGCGCTATTAAAATTTTTGGGTCTGGATTGGCTAATATCACGTTAGAACAGTATAAATTTCCTGTTATCCCAAAATTTCAAGTTTACATTTTCTAAAACACCCGATATAATAATTCCATTTAAAGTTTTCGCGCGTACACCTGCTACCTACTACATCACAAACCACGTAATTGCAGAGGTAGCAAACTTATTTGCACAAAACTTGGATTTTCACGGAAACGTAAAATATGCACGTTTCTGTGAAAATTTAAGCTTTGTACAAATAAGTTTCCTATCTGTCGTTTCAAATGCAAGCCTCTAAATAAATATGTTCTAATCCGTCACTGATTTAGATACTGGTTAGTTTAATATTGTCGGGAAACAATGATCTCTCTAAGAAACATAATTGGTAAATAAGATGATGAATGGAGGTCCCACTAAGTTTATCTCTTACGGTTGAAATGGAAATGAAGCAATACATTTTATTGTCGGTACTACTACATTATTATCCGATTTGGTAATAGAATTTAGAAAGAGTATTTAGGAAACTGTGCTTTTATTGTTTAGATAACAAATCTACCGATAAATAAGAAATTATATTAATTAAAAAATATACAATGTGTCGATCGGTTGTAAATTAAAAAAGTGTAAGTCGTAATAGGCGTGTTAAGTGAAATTCAAAAATATTTATTTTAAAAGATATATTTTTAAAATTTTTCTCTTTTCAAATTTTCACAGAAGAATTTTTTAATTCCAAAAATCTCAAGCAAATTTGAAATGCGCGCCTCAATGTTCTTCAAACATCGTGGTAATGAAGCCTAAAATCTTACTGGCTAATTTATAATGTTCCAGTAAGTAGTCGATGTTTTTACCTTGTTGCCGTTTCTTGTAAAGAATAATTGAATTTTCGGTTAACCGACAATTATTTTAGGGTTAACATCGTATAATTTAACATAAAAACATATATTAAAAATAAAACCATTTGTTTAAATTTCGTTTTTATGCTGCAAATTGACACTAAGTATTTCAATGAACTTTTTTAATCGGAATGTTAAATCATAATCGCGTAATATTTTCTGTAACAAGTCTAGCATCCTTCTAAATCTAAGTCCAAACTTCCTTTTAAATTGCGTGTTTGTTTTCATTCATTTATTATAATTTTTTAAAAATGGTAAAAGAACAAACAGGATTTAAAAAAGGATCTTCAGACAACTTACACCCAAGGTGAATTCTAACATGATTAGAGATTTTTTTATAAATAATTTAGCTCTGAAATTCGCAACTTAAAGACGAAAACAGTACACTTTTTTAGCTCCAAATTTACAATCTTTTTATAATTGGATTCAAAGAGATTTTCGTTTTAAAAAAGAAACATTTTTTACTATACAATCTCATCTGTTAAGATATTTTACTACCAACATAGTTGACATTTTGTTTTGGTTATTTATTAAGTAAAAATTCATATATATATTGTAGGTCTACAAAGGAAATGCACTATATGTTCAGCTTAAAAGAGAGGGTGTTTTGTGTAACATTACCTAAGAACACAATTCACACAAAGTTTATAACGTTAATGTAGAAATAATATATGAACAAAAAGAGAAGGTTGTATTTTATAAATTCACAGAATATTCCTCTTCTAAATATTAAAAAAGCTCAAAATACTGTATTAAATAATTTTCGAAGATTGTTTTTTTTAAGATGGATAGAAACGTAGTTTTGATTTCTTGTTGTGACTGGCACAATCGAAGTGAAGAATCTTTCACCACATTGTGTTATTAGAACGGGTCACTCTTGTCAAAAGTTGGAAGTTCTACTGACTTGAGGGTGTCGATTCTTCTTCAAATTAAACACATTAAAATAAATAAATAAATGTGTGCCTTTTACAAATAAAAATTATCAATTTTTAGAGCTGCGCCAGATGACATTTCTTATTCTCATGTCATTGAAGTAAAATATCCATACAAGAAGAGTTTCAATAGCTACAAATAGAGTGCAAAGTGACCGGAAAGTTATATTTTCATATTCAACTCCAAATGTTGCTTTCTAAGAAACATCTTCGGTTTTTTGTGTGGAATCTCCAAATTTTGAAATAAATAAGTAAGTTCAAATATTAGAAGTTTATTTTTGAAGAACAAGAACTGTTATATATTTATAATGAATTCAAATAAAACAAGTTTTATAAACATTTTTATAAGTACTCTTTATATGTATCAATTACCTAACACGCTAACCCAGCGATTCTACAACCACAGCTGAGTACAAGCTCTTCGGAAAGAGGTAAACGATTTTTTACACACTTGGGCACCAGGTAATCGTTTTCGTTATTGTAACCAAATTGGAGGGAATCGAGAAGATTTGGTGTTCTGGAAGATTTGGTGTTCTCTCCAAACAGTGATTTTGAATATATACAATATAAAAAGCTCTTAAAATATGGAATCTTATGTTTGAAGTTATTGGCAATTTTTCTAAAGAAACACTATTTTGGTGATGATACATCCAAACCTCAGCTCATTAAACATTTTGCATGAAGTATTTTTTCGTAATACTTTTACCAAATATTCTTCTGCATCTCCAATAGACTTTTTAATTTCGGTATTCGACAAACCTAAAAAAGTTAAATATACTAAATAAGTTACTATACAGGGTATATTTTAAATAGCTATTTATAAGCGAATTACTTATAGGTACAAAACTTGACAGATGATTTTGTGGTTCGACATGAGAGGGAGCATGTTTGGTCCAAACTTTACTGGTATAATCTGCCCCTGTTAAGTGATAAAGTGCAGGAAGTACCGAACAAGTTTTCCTTCCACATCGAACAGCTATAACATATAATGGAACATCTCGTTTTGTAACTCCTGCTCCTACTTTTATCCAAAGTTCCTATAAAAAGTTTAACAAATCAAAATATACATTTGAAACCAATACCACACGTTAAGGGCTTACCTTTATTTCTGGTGCTTCAAATGTTCTAAAGTGATATAATGCCATAATTATAATATCAGTTTCTGACGACAAAATACATGTGTTTTCATCTCTATCTCTCACTGCCTGAAGTATGTGAACCATTATTCTCATGTCGACTTCTTCAATATCGTTTTTTTGCAATTTATTTAATGATACAGAAGAAGGTGATGTTGACTGGAAGGATTCGGTACTTATAGCGCTGCATATTAGTTGAACCCCAGGCCAGAATTTAGAACCATTATTTTAAATGAATTGTCGAAGAAATGATTCAAGAAAAATTGTATTTTCTGTAGCGCCCTAAAACTTCTTTTCTTGGACAGGCAAGGAAACATCCTCTTTGATTTCATGCACACAAATATGCCCTATTAAGCTTCCCTTTAAAGTCCTGTTAATGAGGTTACAAAACTCAGAGGCTAAGTATTTAAAATATATACCTAATAATAAACTAAAGTTATCGGATGAACTTCCAAATTTGCGATATGCGTTTAGCAACCTTAAACCATACTGCAGTGATTTACACGTCATCGTATCCTGCTAGTTCGATTTTATTGGCCAGCGACTTCAACGTGATTTCAACAATAGAAGAAGTACATTCCTAGACGTATTCCAGAGAAGAGAAAAATTTTATTACTTTTTGGCGAAGCTGCTGTTTCCAAGGTTCGGGGGGAAGTAGTGTAAAAATAAATTATTTGGAGAAATAAAAATTTTTGAGTCTATTATATCTTTCTGATCTTCTATAATTATATTATAATATGAAAATGTATTCAACGTAATTAATTAACACGTTTAACACACTTTGTAAGTATCTCGATCCTGCGAAGTTATATTTTTTAATGCTAAATTAATGTGGGGATCATCACGGATATAACAACGAATAATTGAGTTCTAACCCAAAGCCCAATCTTTAATATAAAGCTCAGGAAATCAATATTTTACATGGAACGTATATTTTCTCCATATAATGCAATGGTAAAATTTCCAAAAAAATTACTGAGCATATTTTTGAGTGGTAACAAAACAAAACATGTTTAAAATGGACCAAAAAGAAATAATCCGTTTAAAAATTGCGGAGACCTTTCAGCGGCTATATTACAATATATTTCCAATTTTCAATCCTTCTTTATGGCAGGGTCAGTTACAGAGTCTTTAATAGGAATTTTAGGTGGTATATTTATGAGGCACAACATCTTGTTTTATTTTTAAAATTTTACCTATAATTTTGAACTGACTCTAGTTTTTTGCATCTTCTTCCTCCTAAAAAGTAATGAGTAAAAAGTAACAATATAAACATATTAGATTAAAATTTCTCTTTTTATAGCATGCAATTATTTGTTGAACATCTTATCGTATTATTAAATCTGTAACAATTTTTTGTGAAAAGAGAACAGGTAGTTAACAACAATAATGTCAGGTCTCCTAGTGGAAATGCTAGTTTTTGTTTTAGTTTTTAAACTTAAATAAAAAAATGTTGAGCACCATATTTGTTTTTGTTTCTTTCGCGCCTTGATTAGACCGAAGTGCAAATCTAAACTATTTTATTTCTTTGCTTTATAAAAAGTGTATGAACTGTTAAACTATAGGAATTTTTTGCTGATGAAGGCTACCGATTGGGGCCTAAAGAAAATGGTTCAATAAACGAAATATTAGTAAACCTATTTTCAATTTTCAATATCTTTGTTATTTATTTTGGCCCTATGCCAAAAAGTGGCTTTGTTTTCCGGAAGTAAAACTTTCTTCACATCGACAGACTGTTACGGGTCAAAATATCGTAGCCAAGTTAAAATGGCAGAGCTAGTAAACAATACACAACTTTATTTTTATTTATGATTTAATTTAACTTCTAATCTAATCCTAAATCTATTCTAAGTTATTCTAATCTAATCCTAATCTATTCTACCCTAATCTAAGTTATTCTAATCTAATCCCAAATCTATTCTACCCTATTCTAATCTAAGTTATTCTATTCTATTCTAATCTAACCTATTCTACATTAATCTACTTTATAATCTAGGCCTATTCTATTTTGGATTTGTTTTACTTACAGAAACCGTTGTATGAATCGTAATTCTTCTACTTCTAATTTTGTAGCTTATTCTACTTTCAACCCTATTCTAACCTTTCCTATTATTTTGTTAGAATGATTACTTTTAATGAATACTTTAGAACCCAAAGAAATGCCTGTTGCTACAAGAAATAGTACACATAACTCTTTTACATATCTGATGGTTTTAAATATAGGTTAATTATTGTTTGTTTTTGTTTACTTTCACTTTTATGAAGTGTCACATTCTTCTTTTACTGAGGGGCCACACTCTAACCAGACTTTGTCCTGCTAGTCTTTAATAGTCAAGACCTTCCATTGACTTCCCACCATTTTGGGAACTTCCTTTTGTCAGTTTTTATCTGCTCAACTTTGTGGTAGCATGTGCTATTTTCTCTAGTGTATCTAGGATTTGACTTGAGCTAAAAGAATAAAAACTGTGAAACCAGTCTAAAGAATTAGTTGATAAATCTTTGTGATTTCTACACCATTCGGTGGATTTTATATAATCTTTGACTGTGATTCCTACAAAAAGGTCGCCCTACACCTAAAGGTGAGTGTCTAATATTAAATATAATTATTCTCTTACATGACTTACCTATCGCTTAAGGCTGTTTATATGTGTGGCTTATACTAATCCTTCTTACAGACCTTCAATATCACCTTCAACTTTAACTTCAACTTCAGTTTCTACTTTAATACTCATTCTACTTCTATCTATCTAGGTATTTCTTTCTGTGGGATCTATCGACTTTCCTTCGGACTAATACTCTTCCTTCCAAACTTTCTTCGTGGTACTATCACTAAACTGCTACAGCTTTTAAACACTGCCAGCTAACATTCTACAAGGATTGGGTGCATGTTTAGCTAGTTTAGGAAGCCAGGTACCCCTTGTACAGACAGGCCAGAGGTACGACGCAATATTGAGGACGACGGGACAACAGAGATATAATGTAAGCCTATTCCTTATAGCCAAGGGCCCCATTTATCGTGGGTACCACATGACCTCAACCGGGGTCAACTAATTGCGATTCTACCTGCAAAGGTTTTGAGATAATCGAGATAATTCACGTAATTTACCTTAGAAATTGATAATATTAGGGTTATATATAGAGGTAAAGCCATTTTATAAAGCTTACTTACAATTCTGGATTACCGTTTGTAACATTTAGGCCTATTTGCGGACGTGTACCTCGGTTTGTAACGATAATTTGTAGATACAATTGCATGATATATATAATTATTATTTTACCTACTGAATCACGGCGTGGTATCTTTTTTTTATATTCATATTATATATATATTTTTTTTTTGTTACTCTTCGGTACATCTAACCTCTGAAATAAATGTCAGACGCTGTCAAAAATTAAATTGAATTTATAAAAATTTGCGTTGTGTCTAAGAACCCGACCCTACTCTCCCGAATTTTATAAAACTGAGCTAGTAAAAAGAAATAACCCTTCCATCCCCTATAAATCTGAAGGGGAAAAGGTAATAAGACGTCAAAAAAGTTACAAAGCCAGTAAGCATGAAAAAGTTAATTTGGTAAGGAGAGCTAAGCTACATTACGCTTAGATCTCATTTAGCTCATTGTGTATCCTCCATGGGCAAAATTATTTTATTTTGGGCGTCTCTTTCGTCAGGCACCCTACTATTCTAAAGTAGGTCGCATCTAAGGTTATTTCTTTAGTCTCCGTTTAGGTATTACTAATACAAAAACTTAAAATGAAAAAATATTTTTTTATAAATTCGACTGTTGAAGATTTGCAAGAATTTTTATTAAGATCTAATTAACCGTTTGTTTTATAATTTACTATTAAAGTGAAACAAATCGGGGTTTGGTTATTATTAATACAAATTCCCATAACAGTGGTTCTGAAAGTGTGGGTCGCTAGATGAGTTCCAAAATGAAACATAAACGCTTTTTTAACATTTAATCATGTTTTATGTCCGAAGGAAAATGTAAAAACGTTACTTTATTTAAATACCTAGCTATTAAATTGCTTTTTGGCTTCTGGCTAAGCTTATGATGTTGAAAAACAACGGGAAAAACATCTCATCTGAATTTTATTAGTCTCAAAAGAGAAAATGTACTTTGAATATCGAAAAAGCCAGGCGAAGACGGTAAACAATTTTTCGTTTTTGTAATAATAAGAATTAATAACTGAATGAATTATTTTATTGGAAATTGTTTTGTTTGAAATATGGAGTGATCTACAAAAACACGTTTTTAAATTAGGCCATGAATATCGGAACGTACAATTCATCCTTTATTAAGTGGCAACCTGAATTTAATTCAGAGGCGTGCGTTTACGACTTGTGTCTTCATCAGTTAGAGCCTTCTTTAGAAATATTTTTTGTGGATCACTTTACATTTTAAATAAAACACTTTTCAATAAAATAATGAATAGTTAATTGTCTGTTTTTAATAAAAAAAATTTGTTCTGTTTAAAGAAGGGCTCTTACAACTCATCTATTTATAAAACCTTAGTAACTAATTTTTAAAAGACAAAGTAAAAGTAAAATAGTTCCTATGTTCTCAGTTTTATATATAATATAAAACAAATATATATTTTATATACTAGGCCATAAAAGAATTTCTAAGGCTATCAAAGGTAGGTAAAAAAATCTGATGTGTCCAACACATGACTTTCCTATCTAGTTATTACAGACTTTTTCTGGTTATTTTGTACAACCTATTGTATCACCCCTGTAAATATTTATTGCCAACGAAAATACTGAAAAATTAAAATTTTATACTTCTCAAATTTTTCCATTAGGGTTTATTTTGGACATTATATATAGGATAAAACATTATATAGAGAATGACATCGCAAACAACTTTTATTTGAACAATTTTTTTAAAAATTTATTTTTTTTTTACTTTTTGTAAATTTTCTCGAATACGATCAATTTGGGAAAATTTTGTAAGAAACAAAAATTATAGAGAATAATATTATAAATAACTTTTATTTGTAGAATTTTCTTCTGCAAGCATAAATACCAGATATATTCAATAAAATAGAAAAACGATCCCCTATAAAGTACCCCCAGATGTTCCGACTAAGCC